CACACACACACACACACAATATTTCATTTTATAATTCTTAAACATACAGATTGCATATCATAATTATAACATTCGTCATATATTGCAATATAAACGTAATTATTATCATTATCATTATCATGATTATTGTTATTATCATCATCATCGTTATAAATTCATTTAATATATAAAAATATTGGTATTTCAGTTCTCAGAAATAATAAAAATAATAATAATAATAATAACAATTATGATAATGATAATAATAATGAAAATGATATAATCTATCTATATATTTCTCCCTCTCCCTCCCACTCTCACTCTCTAATCTATCAATTTCTCTCCCTCTCTTTCTTTCTCTCTCTCTCTCATCCCCACTCACTCACTCCCTCTCCCTCTCACTCCCCCCCACTCATTCTCCCTCTCACACTCACTCACTCTCCCATTCATTCCTACTCTCACTTACTCTTTCTCACTCCCTCTCCCTCTCACTCCCTCCCTCTCTCACTCCCTCTCCCTCTCACTCTCTCACCCTCTCTCACTCACTCACTCACTCTTTCACACTCTCCCTCTCACTCTCTCACACTCTCCCTCTCACTCACTCTCTCACTCACTCTCACTCTCACTCCCTCTCTCACTCCCTCTTTCACACTCACTCACTCATTCTCACTCCCTCTCTCTCTCTCCCTCTCCCTCTCACTCTCTCACTCTCTCACACTCTCACTCCCTCCCTCTCTCCCTCTCACCCTCTCACCCTCTCACTCTTTGTGTGAAAATTATCATATTCCTGTATAGTGGGGAATGTGTTTTTATTTTTTATCTTTATTTTTTCTTTTTGACTTTGAAATACTTTAACACCCCCATTTTTAATACCAAAAATGTACGTGTTTTTAAAAAATTTGGCTCCAAAACCATTAAATTTGAACATAATACTGAGACTTGAAATAACATTTATAATAATTGTAAAAATAGTAGCAGTAAAAGTAGATAAATAAATAAATAAATAAATAAATAAATAATAATAACAATAATGATTAAAAGAAATACTCATATTTCTAAATCACTTATCATACTAATATTATAACAACGATGATAATCACAACAATAATAGCAATAATAATAATAATGATAATGATAATAATAATAATGATAATTACAATAATAACAGCTTTATCCATAATAATAACCACACTAAATTATATTAAAGATTGCTTCACAATATACAATATACAAGCATGCTATAGTCAGTAACAACATATATATATATATATATATATATATATATATATATTCATATAGCTTATTCTACATCTACAATTAACAAAAGAAAGGTTTTGATAATACAAATAATACAAATTATAATCATACTTTTTAAGATTACTCAAGAGGCACTCTATTTACAATATAAATTCTTATATGTAAAGAAATATATATATATATATAACTGTCATTTATATTTATTCTCAAACAGCTTCTTGTAGGTTTTTGGGATATTAATTTGATATTTTTTTGTGGAAGACCTATCTTGGCTTAGTGTCTGACCTGTTTCATATGACCTGGGTTGACCTGGCGTGTTTCAACATGACCTGTTACGCTACTTGACCTCGGATGACCTGACCTATCCCATATGACCTGGGTTGACCTCTTTCACTATATGACTTTGGCTGACCTGACCTGTTTCATAATGACCTGGGTTGACCTGTTTCAATATTTGACCTAACATTTGTCCGTGACCTGACACATTTTCAGGTAAGCTACCTCACAAGGTCATCCAAGGTCAATTTCGACAGGTCTCAGGTCGCCTCTTTTACAAGCCGGGTCATCCAATGACCTGGTTTCACTTTTTTTTCAGTTAGAGCACCATAAGTCCTCAGGTCACCTCACAATGACCTAACATTTTGTTTTCCAACGAGATCACTTCACAAGGTCATCTCAGGTCACCTCCTTTTGATATGCCGTGACACCCACACAACACGCAATGACCTAACATTTTTTTTCCGAGGTCACTTCAGGTCATCTTGGGTCACTCCTCACCAAGCCATGAGATACTCACCTGGCGTCGAACTCTTTGGCCTCAACGTCGCCTCCTCCTCCATCCTGACCTGGCCTGACCCCTCGCCGTTGACCGTTGACCCCATGACCTCCGAAGTCGGCGTGGGCGTCGCGAGGGCGTGGGTGGAGGCGGTGGGCGTCTCCGGGGAGTGAATCGGCCTCGAACCGACAAAGGAGCTCTCCACCCACACCAGTCGCCGCGGGGAGTTTGACCTCATCTGACCCATCGGTGAATTTGACCTCACTTGACCTCCCAGTGGTGAGTTCGACCTCATTTGACCTCCCAGGGGTGAGTTAGACCTCATTTGACCTCCAAGGGGGGAGTTTGACCTCATCTGGCCTTCCAAGGGCGTGAGTGACCTTCTTTCGAGGTTGAACAGTCTCTCTTGGTCGTCTAGAGCCGAGTTTGACCTCTCTTGACCTTCCACGGGGGTCCTCGACCTGGTTTGGCTCTCGAAAGGCGACTTTGACCTCTCTTGACCTTCCACGGGGGACCTCGACCTGTCTTGACCTCCCCTGGATGGCACGGGGGGCGGGGGATGCACCGGCCGTGACCTGTGACCTCGCGTGGCCCTGGGGGAAGGGCTGGAGTCCTTGCAATAGTGCACGATTGCAGAAGTGACCTCCCTGATCGAGGAATGCACGTCCTCTTCTCCCTCTCTCCCTCCTTCCCGTTTATCGGCCTCTCCCTCTCTCTCCCCGCCTTCGCTCCTCGCTTCCCCGTCCAACCGTCCGTCTCTCTCTCCTTCCTCTCTCGTCCTCTCTTCTTCCTTCTCCCTCTTCTCCTTCTCCCCTTCTTCTCCTCTTCCTTCACCCTCTCCTTCTTCCTTCTTCCTCAGGAAGGAGAAGGACGTGACCCCCATGGCCAGTCGCTCGGCTGGGGTCATGTAGGAACCCAGGACGGACGTCTGGGACCCCGACAGGGACGTCTGGGAGCGGGCCAGGGACGTCTGGGAGCGCCAGCCCAAATAAGGCGTCCTGGAGAGACTCGTGGGCGTGCCCAGGGTCCTGATGGAGCCGGTGGGCGTGACCGTGCCCGAGCTGAGGCGGGAGGAGCTCCACCGCCCCGAAGGATACGTGAACAGGGAGATTTTGTCGCTCGGGGAGGGGCTGACGGAGGCGGAGCTCGGTGACGTCATCGACGAGGCCATCCCGTACGGCGACGCCATCGCGGCTCCTCCCCCCATCGATGACGTCATCCCCCCCGCCGACGTCACCAGCCCCCTCGACGACGTCACGCGCGTCGGGATCACCACCTTCCGCGCCGAGCCGAGTGACGTCATCGACCCCGCCTTGGTGGAGTACGACGCCCAGCCTCCTCCTCCACCTCCCGCTCCACCTCCACCTCCTCCTCCACCCGCTCCACCCTGTCTCTTGAGGAGGAACCCCTCGGAGGGCGGGGCGTTCTTCATCCAATCAGGAACGTGGAGGCGCTGCAGGGAGCGGCGGACTCGAAGCTCCGCCTCCGACACGACGCGTTCGCTTCCCTTCATTAGCTCGTTCTCAGGAGGCTGTTGGGGAGAGGGAGAGAGGGTGAGTAAATGAGGGAATGAGAGAGAAGAGAATAAGTGAGGGAATGAGAGAGAGGGTGAATAAATGAGGGAATGAGAGAGGAAGAGAATAAATGAGGGAGAGAGAGGGTGAAATGAGAGAAAGGGTGAGTAAATAAGGGAATGAGAGAGAAGAGAATAAATGAGGGAATGAGAGGGTGAAAAAATGAGGGAATGAGAGAGGATGAATGAGGGTGAATAAATGAGGGAATGAGAGAGGATGAATGAGGGTGAATAAATGAGGGAATGAGAGAGGGTGAATGAGAGAAAGATGAATAAGTGAGGGAATGAGGGTGAATAAATGAGGGAATGAGAGAGGATGAATGAGGGTGAATAAATGAGGGAATGAGAGAGGATGAATGAGGGTGAATAAATGAGGGAATGAGAGAAAAAGAGAATGAGGAAATTAAAGAGAATAAATGAGGCTAAGACACACCTATTGTAAAAATTTAATTAAAAAATCGGTGCAAAATTTATTGATTTATCCTGCTAACCGACAGAGAAAGAAAGAAATAATTGATTCTAATCCACTAATTATTATTATTATTATTATTATTATTATTATTATTATCATTATTATTATTATTATTATTATTAATATCATTATCAATGTCATCATCATCATCATCACCATTATTATAATTATCATAATACTTCTCTTTATTATATAAAGACGCACCTGTGGTATAAATTTTGTAAAAATCTGTGCGTAACTTTTTGAGTTATGACACTAAAAAACCTATGAACGGAAAAAAAATCTGGATCGGTATCACCATCAAAGTTCAGTGGCATCTAAGTTAGACTCAGACACACCTATGGTAAAAATTTAATAAATATCTGTCCATAATTTTTTGAGTTATAATGCTAACAAACCGATGAACTGACAAGCATAAAATCTTTGGATCCGAATCACCAACAAACTTCAGTGGCATCTAAGTTAGACTCAGACACACCTATGGTAAAAAATTCGTAAAAATCTGTCCATAACTTTTTGAGTTATAATGCTAACAAACCGATGAACAGACAAGCATAAAATCTTTGGATCCGAATCACCAACAAATTTCGGTGGCATGTAAGTTAGACTCAGACACACCTATAGTAAAAGATTCATAAAAACCTATTCATAACTTTTCGAGTTATCCTGCTAACAAAGTAACAATACCCGGATTGACTTATCTTGCTAATTAATTAATTGATAATTAATACCTGCATCGCCACCAAAATTGAATGGCATCTAAGTTAGACTCAGACACACCTATGGTAAAAATTTCATAAAAACCTATTCATAACTTTTCGAGTTATCCTGCTAACAAAGAAACAATACCCGGATTGACTTATCTTGCTAACGAAGACAAAAAAAAAACAGAAAAAAACGAATAATTAATATCTGCATCGCCACCAAAATTGAATGGCATCTAAGTTAGACTCAGACACACCTATGGTAAAAATTTCATAAAAACCTATTCATAACTTTTCGAGTTATCCTGCTAACAAAGAAACAATACCCGGATTGACTTATCTTGCTAACGAAGACAAAAAAAAAAAAAAACACGAATAATTAATATCTGCATCGCCACCAAAATTAAATGGCATCTAAATTAGACTCAGACACACCTATGGTAAAAATTTCATAAAAACCTATTCATAACTTTTTGAGTTATCCTGCTAAGAAACAATACCCGGATTGACTTATCTTGCTAACGAAGACAAAAAAAAAAATAAAAAATAAAACGAATAATTAATATCTGCATCGCCACCAAAATTAAATGGCATCTAAATTAGACTCAGACACACCTATGGTAAAAATTTCGTAAAAATCTGTCCATAACTTTTCGAGTAATCCTGCTAACAAAGAAACAATACCCGGATTGACTTATCTTGCTAACGAAGACAAAAAAAAACAGAAAAAAAACGAATAATTAATATCTGCATCGCCACCAAAATTGAATGGCATCT